TCTTCACGGCCTCTGCTGGAAGCAGGCTCCAGGAAGGAGTCCCACAGGTCCTAGTTTTGATAAGTGGTGGAAGGTCTTTTGACAGTGTTGATGCACCAGCCTCTGCTCTCAAAGAGCTGGGTGTCTTGACCTTTGCAATTGGAACCAGGAGTGCTGATAGCAAAGAACTGCAGAAGATATCCCGACCCCAGCTATGCACTAACTGTGTCTGAATTCACTGACCTTCCCAATGTCCAACAACAACTTCAGTCCTCCGTGGAGGCTGTGGTTATCGAGGTCTCCCCAGAATCACCACCTGTTCCTGGTATGTTAACAAGCATGGCCCCTTACAGGCCTGATAGACATGATTTGTTTGACCTACACTGAGGCAAGGAAAATAAGTGTGAAATTTGTGTAGCCGCATTTCAAAATGAGGGGGAGGTTTTCTCCCATTGTTTACATTAAATTAGCCAGCGTTAGGTGACTGAAAAACAAAAAAGAGAAATCAAATAAAAATTGCACCACTTGATGATTAGCCCAGCAGCGTAGATTTGGCAAAAAAATTCACCTGATGTCTTCCTGTCTTTTCTCAGTCGATACTGCCAAAAAGGATATCGTTTTCCTCCTGGATGGTTCTGATGGCACACGGAATGGCTTCCCTGCCATGCTTGATTTTGTTAAGAGAGTGGTGGAGAAATTGAATGTAGGACCTAACAATGACCGTGTCTCTGTGGTCCAATACAGCAGAGATGCAGAGATCCATTTCTATCTGAACACATACACCACAAGACAGGATATTTTGGATACAGTCAGAGGGCTGAGACATAGAGGAGGCAGACCCCTCAACACCGGGGCGGCCCTCCAATACGTCAGGGACAACGCCTTTACAAACTCCTCCGGGAGCAGGCGCCTGCAAGGTGTTCCACAAATGTTGATCCTGCTAAATGGTGGAAGGTCTTTTGACAATGTAGATACCCCAGCCTCTGCTCTCAAACAGCAGGGTGTCTATGTGATAGGCATTGGCACAAGGAACTCTGACACTAGGGAGCTGCAGAAGATATCATATGACCCTAGTTCTGCTCTATCAGTGTCTGATTTCACTGACCTCCCAGTGCCCAGGAACAGCTCTCCTCTGTAATGAACACAGTGCTAACCAGGGCCACGCCATCACACCAACAAAAGCTGGTAAGAAAGTGACAGATTTTTATTTTCCAAGGTCATGGTAGGATGCAAATTGAACAGTATGACAGTGTATTTATTGTAGCTGAGGCAAGCCAGCAGCACTCTGAGAATACATTTGTTCCAGATTATACAGAGTACATTGTTAAATTCCAGGTTAGCTTTGGTCATCTGACTTTCACATGGAAAACATTTGACACATGAACCTGAACATGTCTGACATTTTTTATTCCCTAGTGGAGAGACAGCCAGCAGGAAAAGATATTGTGTTCTTGTTGGATGGATCTGATGGTACTAGAACTGGCTTCCCAGCTGTGAAAGACTTTGTCCAAAGAGTTGTAGAGACACTCAGTGTGGATGACAACAAAGACCGTGTCTCAGTGGTTCAGTACAGCAAAGAGCCAGCTGCCCAATTCTATCTGAACACGTACACCACAAAAGGCGACATCCTTGACACTGTCAGAGGATTGAGGCACAAAGGTGGAAGACCCCTCAACACTGGAGCAGCTCTCCAGTACTTGAGGGATAATGTCTTCACGGCCTCTGCTGGAAGCAGGCTCCAGGAAGGAGTCCCACAGGTCCTAGTTTTGATAAGTGGTGGAAGGTCTTTTGACAGTGTTGATGCACCAGCCTCTGCTCTCAAAGAGCTGGGTGTCTTGACCTTTGCAATTGGAACCAGGAGTGCTGATAGCAAAGAACTGCAGAAGATATCCCACGACCCCAGCTATGCACTAACTGTGTCTGAATTCACTGACCTTCCCAATGTCCAACAACAACTTCAGTCCTCCGTGGAGGCTGTGGTTATCGAGGTCTCCCCAGAATCACCACCTGTTCCTGGTATGTTAACAAGCATGGCCCCTTACAGGCCTGATAGATACATGATTTGTTTGACCTACACTGAGGCAAGGAAAATAAGTGTGAAATTTGTGTAGCCGCATTCAAAATGAGGGGGAGGTTTTCTCCCATTGTTTACATTAAATTAGCCAGCGTTAGGTGACTGAAAAACAAAAAAGAGAAATCAAATAAAAATTGCACCACTTGATGATTAGCCCAGCAGCGTAGATTTGGCAAAAAAATTCACCTGATGTCTTCCTGTCTTTTCTCAGTCGATACTGCCAAAAAGGATATCGTTTTCCTCCTGGATGGTTCTGATGGCACACGGAATGGCTTCCCTGCCATGCTTGATTTTGTTAAGAGAGTGGTGGAGAAATTGAATGTAGGACCTAACAATGACCGTGTCTCTGTGGTCCAATACAGCAGAGATGCAGAGATCCATTTCTATCTGAACACATACACCACAAGACAGGATATTTTGGATACAGTCAGAGGGCTGAGACATAGAGGAGGCAGACCCCTCAACACCGGGGCGGCCCTCCAATACGTCAGGGACAACGCCTTTACAAACTCCTCCGGGAGCAGGCGCCTGCAAGGTGTTCCACAAATGTTGATCCTGCTAAATGGTGGAAGGTCTTTTGACAATGTAGATACCCCAGCCTCTGCTCTCAAACAGCAGGGTGTCTATGTGATAGGCATTGGCACAAGGAACTCTGACACTAGGGAGCTGCAGAAGATATCATATGACCCTAGTTCTGCTCTATCAGTGTCTGATTTCACTGACCTCCCCAGTGCCCAGGAACAGCTCTCCTCTGTAATGAACACAGTGCTAACCAGGGCCACGCCCATCACACCAACAAAAGCTGGTAAGAAAGTGACAGATTTTTATTTTCCAAGGTCATGGTAGGATGCAAATTGAACAGTATGACAGTGTATTTATTGTAGCTGAGGCAAGCAGCAGCACTCTGAGAATACATTTGTTCCAGATTATACAGAGTACATTGTTAAATTCCAGGTTAGCTTTGGTCATCTGACTTTCACATGGAAAACATTTGACACATGAACCTGAACATGTCTGACATTTTTTATTCCCTAGTGGAGAGACAGCCAGCAGGAAAAGATATTGTGTTCTTGTTGGATGGATCTGATGGTACTAGAACTGGCTTCCCAGCTGTGAAAGACTTTGTCCAAAGAGTTGTAGAGACACTCAGTGTGGATGACAACAAAGACCGTGTCTCAGTGGTTCAGTACAGCAAAGAGCCAGCTGCCCAATTCTATCTGAACACGTACACCACAAAAGGCGACATCCTTGACACTGTCAGAGGATTGAGGCACAAAGGTGGAAGACCCCTCAACACTGGAGCAGCTCTCCAGTACTTGAGGGATAATGTCTTCACGGCCTCTGCTGGAAGCAGGCTCCAGGAAGGAGTCCCACAGGTCCTAGTTTTGATAAGTGGTGGAAGGTCTTTTGACAGTGTTGATGCACCAGCCTCTGCTCTCAAAGAGCTGGGTGTCTTGACCTTTGCAATTGGAACCAGGAGTGCTGATAGCAAAGAACTGCAGAAGATATCCCACGACCCCAGCTATGCACTAACTGTGTCTGAATTCACTGACCTTCCCAATGTCCAACAACAACTTCAGTCCTCCGTGGAGGCTGTGGTTATCGAGGTCTCCCCAGAATCACCACCTGTTCCTGGTATGTTAACAAGCATGGCCCTTACAGGCCTGATAGATACATGATTTGTTTGACCTACACTGAGGCAAGGAAAATAAGTGTGAAATTTGTGTAGCCGCATTCAAAATGAGGGGGAGGTTTTCTCCCATTGTTTACATTAAATTAGCCAGCGTTAGGTGACTGAAAAACAAAAAAGAGAAATCAAATAAAAATTGCACCTTGATGATTAGCCCAGCAGCGTAGATTTGGCAAAAAAATTCACCTGATGTCTTCCTGTCTTTTCTCAGTCGATACTGCCAAAAAGGATATCGTTTTCCTCCTGGATGGTTCTGATGGCACACGGAATGGCTTCCCTGCCATGCTTGATTTTGTTAAGAGAGTGGTGGAGAAATTGAATGTAGGACCTAACAATGACCGTGTCTCTGTGGTCCAATACAGCAGAGATGCAGAGATCCATTTCTATCTGAACACATACACCACAAGACAGGATATTTTGGATACAGTCAGAGGGCTGAGACATAGAGGAGGCAGACCCCAACACCGGGGCGGCCCTCCAATACGTCAGGGACAACGCCTTTACAAACTCCTCCGGGAGCAGGCGCCTGCAAGGTGTTCCACAAATGTTGATCCTGCTAAATGGTGGAAGGTCTTTTGACAATGTAGATACCCCAGCCTCTGCTCTCAAACAGCAGGGTGTCTATGTGATAGGCATTGGCACAAGGAACTCTGACACTAGGGAGCTGCAGAAGATATCATATGACCCTAGTTCTGCTCTATCAGTGTCTGATTTCACTGACCTCCCCAGTGCCCAGGAACAGCTCTCCTCTGTAATGAACACAGTGCTAACCAGGGCCACGCCCATCACACCAACAAAAGCTGGTAAGAAAGTGACAGATTTTTATTTTCCAAGGTCATGGTAGGATGCAAATTGAACAGTATGACAGTGTATTTATTGTAGCTGAGGCAAGCCAGCAGCACTCTGAGAATACATTTGTTCCAGATTATACAGAGTACATTGTTAAATTCCAGGTTAGCTTTGGTCATCTGACTTTCACATGGAAAACATTTGACACATGAACCTGAACATGTCTGACATTTTTTATTCCCTAGTGGAGAGACAGCCAGCAGGAAAAGATATTGTGTTCTTGTTGGATGGATCTGATGGTACTAGAACTGGCTTCCCAGCTGTGAAAGACTTTGTCCAAAGAGTTGTAGAGACACTCAGTGTGGATGACAACAAAGACCGTGTCTCAGTGGTTCAGTACAGCAAAGAGCCAGCTGCCCAATTCTATCTGAACACGTACACCACAAAAGGCGACATCCTTGACACTGTCAGAGGATTGAGGCACAAAGGTGGAAGACCCCTCAACACTGGAGCAGCTCTCCAGTACTTGAGGGATAATGTCTTCACGGCCTCTGCTGGAAGCAGGCTCCAGGAAGGAGTCCCACAGGTCCTAGTTTTGATAAGTGGTGGAAGGTCTTTTGACAGTGTTGATGCACCAGCCTCTGCTCTCAAAGAGCTGGGTGTCTTGACCTTTGCAATTGGAACCAGGAGTGCTGATAGCAAAGAACTGCAGAAGATATCCCACGACCCCAGCTATGCACTAACTGTGTCTGAATTCACTGACCTTCCCAATGTCCAACAACAACTTCAGTCCTCCGTGGAGGCTGTGGTTATCGAGGTCTCCCCAGAATCACCACCTGTTCCTGGTATGTTAACAAGCATGGCCCCTTACAGGCCTGATAGATACATGATTTGTTTGACCTACACTGAGGCAAGGAAAATAAGTGTGAAATTTGTGTAGCCGCATTCAAAATGAGGGGGAGGTTTTCTCCCATTGTTTACATTAAATTAGCCAGCGTTAGGTGACTGAAAAACAAAAAAGAGAAATCAAATAAAAATTGCACACTTGATGATTAGCCCAGCAGCGTAGATTTGGCAAAAAAATTCACCTGATGTCTTCCTGTCTTTTCTCAGTCGATACTGCCAAAAAGGATATCGTTTTCCTCCTGGATGGTTCTGATGGCACACGGAATGGCTTCCCTGCCATGCTTGATTTTGTTAAGAGAGTGGTGGAGAAATTGAATGTAGGACCTAACAATGACCGTGTCTCTGTGGTCCAATACAGCAGAGATGCAGAGATCCATTTCTATCTGAACACATACACCACAAGACAGGATATTTTGGATACAGTCAGAGGGCTGAGACATAGAGGAGGCAGACCCCTCAACACCGGGGCGGCCCTCCAATACGTCAGGGACAACGCCTTTACAAACTCCTCCGGGAGCAGGCGCCTGCAAGGTGTTCCACAAATGTTGATCCTGCTAAATGGTGGAAGGTCTTTTGACAATGTAGATACCCCAGCCTCTGCTCTCAAACAGCAGGGTGTCTATGTGATAGGCATTGGCACAAGGAACTCTGACACTAGGGAGCTGCAGAAGATATCATATGACCCTAGTTCTGCTCTATCAGTGTCTGATTTCACTGACCTCCCAGTGCCCAGGAACAGCTCTCCTCTGTAATGAACACAGTGCTAACCAGGGCCACGCCCATCACACCAACAAAAGCTGGTAAGAAAGTGACAGATTTTTATTTTCCAAGGTCATGGTAGGATGCAAATTGAACAGTATGACAGTGTATTTATTGTAGCTGAGGCAAGCCAGCAGCACTCTGAGAATACATTTGTTCCAGATTATACAGAGTACATTGTTAAATTCCAGGTTAGCTTTGGTCATCTGACTTTCACATGGAAAACATTTGACACATGAACCTGAACATGTCTGACATTTTTTATTCCCTAGTGGAGAGACAGCCAGCAGGAAAAGATATTGTGTTCTTGTTGGATGGATCTGATGGTACTAGAACTGGCTTCCCAGCTGTGAAAGACTTTGTCCAAAGAGTTGTAGAGACACTCAGTGTGGATGACAACAAAGACCGTGTCTCAGTGGTTCAGTACAGCAAAGAGCCAGCTGCCCAATTCTATCTGAACACGTACACCACAAAAGGCGACATCCTTGACACTGTCAGAGGATTGAGGCACAAAGGTGGAAGACCCCTCAACACTGGAGCAGCTCTCCAGTACTTGAGGGATAATGTCTTCACGGCCTCTGCTGGAAGCAGGCTCCAGGAAGGAGTCCCACAGGTCCTAGTTTTGATAAGTGGTGGAAGGTCTTTTGACAGTGTTGATGCACCAGCCTCTGCTCTCAAAGAGCTGGGTGTCTTGACCTTTGCAATTGGAACCAGGAGTGCTGATAGCAAAGAACTGCAGAAGATATCCCACGACCCCAGCTATGCACTAACTGTGTCTGAATTCACTGACCTTCCCAATGTCCAACAACAACTTCAGTCCTCCGTGGAGGCTGTGGTTATCGAGGTCTCCCCAGAATCACCACCTGTTCCTGGTATGTTAACAAGCATGGCCCCTTACAGGCCTGATAGACACATGATTTGTTTGACCTACACTGATGCAAGGAAAATAAGTGTGAAATTTGTGTAGCCGCAATTCAAAATGAGGGGGAGGTTTTCTCCCATTGTTTACATTAAATTAGCCAGCGTTAGGTGACTGAAAAACAAAAAAAGAGAAATCAAATAAAAATTGCACCACTTGATGATTAGCCCAGCAGCGTAGATTTGGCAAAAAAATTCACCTGATGTCTTCCTGTCTTTTCTCAGTCGATACTGCCAAAAAGGATATCGTTTTCCTCCTGGATGGTTCTGATGGCACACGGAATGGCTTCCCTGCCATGCTTGATTTTGTTAAGAGAGTGGTGGAGAAATTGAATGTAGGACCTAACAATGACCGTGTCTCTGTGGTCCAATACAGCAGAGATGCAGAGATCCATTTCTATCTGAACACATACACCACAAGACAGGATATTTTGGATACAGTCAGAGGGCTGAGACATAGAGGAGGCAGACCCCTCAACACCGGGGCGGCCCTCCAATACGTCAGGGACAACGCCTTTACAAACTCCTCCGGGAGCAGGCGCCTGCAAGGTGTTCCACAAATGTTGATCCTGCTAAATGGTGGAAGGTCTTTTGACAATGTAGATACCCCAGCCTCTGCTCTCAAACAGCAGGGTGTCTATGTGATAGGCATTGGCACAAGGAACTCTGACACTAGGGAGCTGCAGAAGATATCATATGACCCTAGTTCTGCTCTATCAGTGTCTGATTTCACTGACCTCCCCAGTGCCCAGGAACAGCTCTCCTCTGTAATGAACACAGTGCTAACCAGGGCCACGCCCATCACACCAACAAAAGCTGGTAAGAAAGTGACAGATTTTTATTTTCCAAGGTCATGGTAGGATGCAAATTGAACAGTATGACAGTGTATTTATTGTAGCTGAGGCAAGCCAGCAGCACTCTGAGAATACATTTGTTCCAGATTATACAGAGTACATTGTTAAATTCCAGGTTAGCTTTGGTCATCTGACTTTCACATGGAAAACATTTGACACATGAACCTGAACATGTCTGACATTTTTTATTCCCTAGTGGAGAGACAGCCAGCAGGAAAAGATATTGTGTTCTTGTTGGATGGATCTGATGGTACTAGAACTGGCTTCCCAGCTGTGAAAGACTTTGTCCAAAGAGTTGTAGAGACACTCAGTGTGGATGACAACAAAGACCGTGTCTCAGTGGTTCAGTACAGCAAAGAGCCAGCTGCCCAATTCTATCTGAACACGTACACCACAAAAGGCGACATCCTTGACACTGTCAGAGGATTGAGGCACAAAGGTGGAAGACCCCTCAACACTGGAGCAGCTCTCCAGTACTTGAGGGATAATGTCTTCACGGCCTCTGCTGGAAGCAGGCTCCAGGAAGGAGTCCCACAGGTCCTAGTTTTGATAAGTGGTGGAAGGTCTTTTGACAGTGTTGATGCACCAGCCTCTGCTCTCAAAGAGCTGGGTGTCTTGACCTTTGCAATTGGAACCAGGAGTGCTGATAGCAAAGAACTGCAGAAGATATCCCACGACCCCAGCTATGCACTAACTGTGTCTGAATTCACTGACCTTCCCAATGTCCAACAACAACTTCAGTCCTCCGTGGAGGCTGTGGTTATCGAGGTCTCCCCAGAATCACCACCTGTTCCTGGTATGTTAACAAGCATGGCCCCTTACAGGCCTGATAGATACATGATTTGTTTGACCTACACTGAGGCAAGGAAAATAAGTGTGAAATTTGTGTAGCCGCATTTCAAAATGAGGGGGAGGTTTTCTCCCATTGTTTACATTAAATTAGCCAGCGTTAGGTGACTGAAAAACAAAAAAGAGAAATCAAATAAAAATTGCACCACTTGATGATTAGCCCAGCAGCGTAGATTTGGCAAAAAAATTCACCTGATGTCTTCCTGTCTTTTCTCAGTCGATACTGCCAAAAAGGATATCGTTTTCCTCCTGGATGGTTCTGATGGCACACGGAATGGCTTCCCTGCCATGCTTGATTTTGTTAAGAGAGTGGTGGAGAAATTGAATGTAGGACCTAACAATGACCGTGTCTCTGTGGTCCAATACAGCAGAGATGCAGAGATCCATTTCTATCTGAACACATACACCACAAGACAGGATATTTTGGATACAGTCAGAGGGCTGAGACATAGAGGAGGCAGACCCCTCAACACCGGGGCGGCCCTCCAATACGTCAGGGACAACGCCTTTACAAACTCCTCCGGGAGCAGGCGCCTGCAAGGTGTTCCACAAATGTTGATCCTGCTAAATGGTGGAAGGTCTTTTGACAATGTAGATACCCCAGCCTCTGCTCTCAAACAGCAGGGTGTCTATGTGATAGGCATTGGCACAAGGAACTCTGACACTAGGGAGCTGCAGAAGATATCATATGACCCTAGTTCTGCTCTATCAGTGTCTGATTTCACTGACCTCCCCAGTGCCCAGGAACAGCTCTCCTCTGTAATGAACACAGTGCTAACCAGGGCCACGCCCATCACACCAACAAAAGCTGGTAAGAAAGTGACAGATTTTTATTTTCCAAGGTCATGGTAGGATGCAAATTGAACAGTATGACAGTGTATTTATTGTAGCTGAGGCAAGCCAGCAGCACTCTGAGAATACATTTGTTCCAGATTATACAGAGTACATTGTTAAATTCCAGGTTAGCTTTGGTCATCTGACTTTCACATGGAAAACATTTGACACATGAACCTGAACATGTCTGACATTTTTTATTCCCTAGTGGAGAGACAGCCAGCAGGAAAAGATATTGTGTTCTTGTTGGATGGATCTGATGGTACTAGAACTGGCTTCCCAGCTGTGAAAGACTTTGTCCAAAGAGTTGTAGAGACACTCAGTGTGGATGACAACAAAGACCGTGTCTCAGTGGTTCAGTACAGCAAAGAGCCAGCTGCCCAATTCTATCTGAACACGTACACCACAAAAGGCGACATCCTTGACACTGTCAGAGGATTGAGGCACAAAGGTGGAAGACCCCTCAACACTGGAGCAGCTCTCCAGTACTTGAGGGATAATGTCTTCACGGCCTCTGCTGGAAGCAGGCTCCAGGAAGGAGTCCCACAGGTCCTAGTTTTGATAAGTGGTGGAAGGTCTTTTGACAGTGTTGATGCACCAGCCTCTGCTCTCAAAGAGCTGGGTGTCTTGACCTTTGCAATTGGAACCAGGAGTGCTGATAGCAAAGAACTGCAGAAGATATCCCACGACCCCAGCTATGCACTAACTGTGTCTGAATTCACTGACCTTCCCAATGTCCAACAACAACTTCAGTCCTCCGTGGAGGCTGTGGTTATCGAGGTCTCCCCAGAATCACCACCTGTTCCTGGTATGTTAACAAGCATGGCCCCTTACAGGCCTGATAGACACATGATTTGTTGACCTACACTGAGGCAAGGAAAATAAGTGTGAAATTTGTGTAGCCGCAATTCAAAATGAGGGGGAGGTTTTCTCCCATTGTTTACATTAAATTAGCCAGCGTTAGGTGACTGAAAAACAAAAAAGAGAAATCAAATAAAAATTGCACCACTTGATGATTAGCCCAGCAGCGTAGATTTGGCAAAAAAATTCACCTGATGTCTTCCTGTCTTTTCTCAGTCGATACTGCCAAAAAGGATATCGTTTTCCTCCTGGATGGTTCTGATGGCACACGGAATGGCTTCCCTGCCATGCTTGATTTTGTTAAGAGAGTGGTGGAGAAATTGAATGTAGGACCTAACAATGACCGTGTCTCTGTGGTCCAATACAGCAGAGATGCAGAGATCCATTTCTATCTGAACACATACACCACAAGACAGGATATTTTGGATACAGTCAGAGGGCTGAGACATAGAGGAGGCAGACCCTCAACACCGGGGCGGCCCTCCAATACGTCAGGGACAACGCCTTTACAAACTCCTCCGGGAGCAGGCGCCTGCAAGGTGTTCCACAAATGTTGATCCTGCTAAATGGTGGAAGGTCTTTTGACAATGTAGATACCCAGCCTCTGCTCTCAAACAGCAGGGTGTCTATGTGATAGGCATTGGCACAAGGAACTCTGACACTAGGGAGCTGCAGAAGATATCATATGACCCTAGTTCTGCTCTATCAGTGTCTGATTTCACTGACCTCCCAGTGCCCAGGAACAGCTCTCCTCTGTAATGAACACAGTGCTAACCAGGGCCACGCCCATCACACCAACAAAAGCTGGTAAGAAAGTGACAGATTTTTATTTTCCAAGGTCATGGTAGGATGCAAATTGAACAGTATGACAGTGTATTTATTGTAGCTGAGGCAAGCCAGCAGCACTCTGAGAATACATTTGTTCCAGATTAACAGAGTACATTGTTAAATTCCAGGTTAGCTTTGGTCATCTGACTTTCACATGGAAAACATTTGACACATGAACCTGAACATGTCTGACATTTTTTATTCCCTAGTGGAGAGACAGCCAGCAGGAAAAGATATTGTGTTCTTGTTGGATGGATCTGATGGTACTAGAACTGGCTTCCCAGCTGTGAAAGACTTTGTCCAAAGAGTTGTAGAGACACTCAGTGTGGATGACAAAAAGACCGTGTCTCAGTGGTTCAGTACAGCAAAGAGCCAGCTGCCCAATTCTATCTGAACACGTACACCACAAAAGGCGACATCCTTGACACTGTCAGAGGATTGAGGCACAAAGGTGGAAGACCCCTCAACACTGGAGCAGCTCTCCAGTACTTGAGGGATAATGTCTTCACGGCCTCTGCTGGAAGCAGGCTCCAGGAAGGAGTCCCACAGGTCCTAGTTTTGATAAGTGGTGGAAGGTCTTTTGACAGTGTTGATGCACCAGCCTCTGCTCTCAAAGAGCTGGGTGTCTTGACCTTTGCAATTGGAACCAGGAGTGCTGATAGCAAAGAACTGCAGAAGATATCCCACGACCCCAGCTATGCACTAACTGTGTCTGAATTCACTGACCTTCCAATGTCCAACAACAACTTCAGTCCTCCGTGGAGGCTGTGGTATCGATGGTCTCCCCAGAATCACCACCTTCCTGGTATGTTAACAAGCATGGCCCCTTACAGGCCTGATAGACACATGATTTGTTGACCTACACTGAGGCAAGGAAAATAGTGTGAAATTTTGTGAGCCGCAATTCAAAATGAGGGGGAGGTTTTCTCCCATTGTTTTACATTAAATTAGCCAGCGTTAGCTGACTGAAAAACAAAAAAAGAGAAATCAAAAAAAATTGCACCACTTGATGATTAGCCCAGCAGCGTAGATTTGGCAAAAAAATTCACCTGATGTCTTCCTGTCTTTCTCAGTCGATACTGCCAAAAAGGATATCGTTTTCCTCCTGGATGGTTCTGATGGCACACGGAATGGCTTCCCTGCCATGCTTGATTTTGTTTAAGAGAGTGGTGGAGAATTGAATGTAGGACCTAACAATGACCGTGTCTCTGTGGTCCAATACAGCAGAGATGCAGAGATCCATTTCTATCTGAACACATACACCACAAGACAGGATATTTTGGATACAGTCAGAGGGCTGAGACATAGAGGAGGCAGACCCCTCAACACCGGGCGGCCCCTCCAATACGTCAGGGACAACGCCTT